TTGAACCACCAGCCTTCTGGTGAGCAGTCAAGTGCCTTAGGCACTATGCTACCAGAGCTCCTATATGAAGGGGAGTGGCCACAATTAATATCTCATTAATTATGTTCTAATTGTTCTGTTTCTGTTACTTTCATTTCCCTGCCCCTGTTGTCTTCTCATCTTTGCTTTAGAATAATTGTTGACCTTTTGCTCTCCTATACATGGTTTGGGAAAATTATATTTTGTTTTATGTGAAAGTTAACACAGAAAATTAGTTTCTCATTCAATAATTCATACACAAATTATTCCATGACATTGGTTGTTATCCTCATAATTTGTCAGCACTCTCCCTATTTCTACCCTGCCTTCTTCATTTCCATCCATCCAGTTTCCCTGCCCCTTCTGGCCTTCTCATCTTTGCTTTTGCCCATTTGGTCTCACAGAGTTTATTGTTCTATGAAGTTTATTGTCCTCATAGGTGTTCTTGTTTATTTCATATACCAATCTATTATTTGCCTGTAAGGTGACCTTTGGGAGTAGCTTCAGGTACAGATTAAAAAGTTGTCTTAGGGCAGTAGTCTTGAGAATTCCTCCAGTCTGTTAGTCCAGTAAATCTGAGATTTTTTGTTTTTGTTTTTTTAATAAATTTGAGTTTCGGTGATATAGTTTTTTAACTGAGCCCTGTAATCCTAGGTAATATTCTTTGTTTTATGCACCAATCTGTTATTTTGCTAAAAGGTAACCATGGGGAATAGTTCAGTGTAAGTTTTAAAGAGTATCTTAAGTCACTAGTCTCAATGAGTCCTCCAGTCTCAACTGGTCTAGTAATTCTGGACTTTTTAAGAATTAGAGTTCTGTCTCATTTTTTTCCCATCCTATCCTGTCCATCTATTGTGATCCTGACCAGAATGGTCAGTAATGGTACCCAGGCACCGTCTAGTTCTTCTAATCTTAGGGTAGATGAGGCCGTGGTTTATGTAGGCTATTAGTCCTATGGACTCATTTCTTCTCTGAGACTTTGGTTTCCTTCTTTCTCTTTTGTTCCTAATGAATTGTATCTTAGATGGCCACTTGCAAGCGTCTAAGACCTCAAAAGCTAGTTACCTCACTAGGATGGAGAACATGAGCTTTGTGATGCCAATTGACTGAGTTGTTCGTAGCTACTTGAATCTGCATATTGAATCTGCATATTGAAAGAGCAGATGGCATTGATTGATTCTGAATGATTAACATGAGGCTAGGAGGTTTGGGTAGTGTAGTGCCTAAGGCACTTGACTGCTAACTAGAAGGCTGGTGGTTCAAACCCACCAGCCACTCCTCGGAAGGAAGATGAGGCAATCTACTTCCATAGTGATACTGCCTCGGAAACCCAAGGAGGGTTCGCTATGAGTTGGGTCCAACTTGACGGCTCATAACAACAACAACAACAGGAGGTTTTAGGTATTATATTGAAGAGAAAAACTAACCCCTATCCTTGAAATTTATTGATTAGTATACCTGGCTAGAATAAAAGGATAAAGAGCAAGGCAAATTTTGACACAGCCTCTTTCTTTCAATACATATGATATTGTAAAATGGTGCTTTGGCAGTAAAAAAGAAGAAGAAGAAAAGAACTATATAATTGTAAATAAATATAATTTAGAATACATTCTAAATTACAGCCTTTTATTTTTGATGCTCTTATTAATTGATTTTCTAATTATCTTTTTTTGTTCAATAACTTTATAGCTATAAAATGTCTGAAGGACCCTTAATAGGAGGAATTTATATGCTATAGTACTTTGCCAATGAAAAATAGTAATAGATTGAGAGAGCCACAAGGCCAGGTTTTAGTTTTATGCTAGATGATTTTCTTAGCATAGTTTTAATTGGTCACTCGATAACTGTTTCCCAACTATATGAGAGTAGGGGTAGCTCTCCCATTCAGACCTGCCTATGTGGATTCCACAAAGCATCAGACCCGTCCTGCTATAAGACTGCTTGAAGTCCTGGCCCAAACTGTAAATACTAGGCTGCCATCATGAAAAAGCTACTCTACTCAGCAATGCTTAAGGATAAAATGTAAATGAATGAGTCCACACTTGGCAGCCTTTATTTAGAATTTTTATTTCCATTTGTTTAAATTTTATTATTTTTATTAGAATTATTTCACAGGTGTTCTCCTTGAAATAGAGTTCTGTTTTTTTTAAAAACAATTTTTAATGCCATAAGAGCATAAAGCACAGAAACACTAGGCTAAAAAAGTAGCAGTCAAATAAACGTAGTTAAACATAACCTTGATTAACGAATCTTGTTATTCATGGATGACAGCTTAGTTAATAAGTGTTTGTGGCTTAGATACTGAACTAGAAGTTAATGGTGAAATGGGAGCAATTGTAGAATTCAAATTGTTAAGGCAAACACACATCACACCCCAAAAGGCATGCCTGGAATCAGGTGTAGTTAGTTGGCTGTGGTGATGTACTTTGAGTGTTCTCCTTCACTGGTCCAGCTGTGAACGGCTAGCACCTAAGCAAGGAAAAGGGAATGTCCCTCCACTGTTGGCCTTCCTGCTCCACTCCCATATTCATAATTTGAATGGCTGAATAGTCATTGTGGGAGAAGAATATTTGTACTTGAAAATGTTTAATTAAGGTTTTATTTTGACCTCTCTAACTTGGATTTTCAGAATAGATAGGTTATATAATTTATAGTTACATGTCTGAATTTTACAGTGTTTATACCCATCTAGACTTGGCCTTTAAATGTAAATGGCATAGAATCAGTGTCTCCTTAAACTTCTATGCCTCAAAAGCACAATGCATGGAGAATGTTTTGAAACTTCACTGTTCATTTGAGATTAAGGAATGTTTTTATGTTGAAGAATCTGAAACCTTGGTACATTTCTTAACTGACTTCCTTTCCTCCTTGTGAGATGGATTAAAAGCAAGAAATATTTTTCTTTTTTCATTTGCACTGGTGACTAGGTCAGGACTAAAAGTAAAAAAATTTATATAAAGAAATGCACAAGTCACTCATATCCTAAAAGAGTACTCAAATATGTGGGAAGACAAACAGATGTCTAAAACATCTAACTTCAATATTGTGTCTATAATCGGAAGCCAAAGCCGGGTGGTGATTTTATCATACACCGTGGCCTGGCTGTGTCATGGGTCATATGGTTCATCCTGTGAACAGGAAGGTGAGAGCTGGTGAACTTTTGCCTCGGTTGTGCCATCTATCAGAGAATAAATGGACCAAATCAACGTGTGCAGCTGTATACGAAGGTGACTGTTTGAGGACCTCTCACACTGCAGCCTTTGTGTCTTAGACATGATCTAGCATCACAATGGGATGCACTCAGCCTTGGCTATGTGGCAAATTACTAACCCATTATCACACCAGACACAAGATCATTTATCTTCTCATTCAGAGTGTCACCTTTTCATCATTTACCAGTCAATAACCATTAATTATGTTCAGTGGAAATTCAAACAAAGCCCTTTCCCTTCATGAAAACCTGTAAACTATTCATTCAGTAATAAAAAATATAGAGTTGTATATTCTTTCCCTTCCCATTCCCAGACTGGGAATATAATATGAGCTTGAGAGGAAATGCCTAGAAATTGATAGGTCAAAGGCCACAGATAGTCTGATGGAAAAGAACAGACTCCTGGCACTCACTCTTGTGAAAGTAAGAAGCTCCTCCATCCCAGATTGCTGTCAGAGAACAAAACAAGCACCAGGAACTTGTGCCCAGTCTTTAAAACTAATCCACCATTAACCAGTAATCATGTTTTCTCCTTTTATTTTTAGCAAACTCTTGCTTTCTTTTATATGACAAATAACACAATTTTTTAGACCATTCTAGTACAACAAAGTGTTTCAAAAGCAATAAAATAAGCTGAGAAGTCCAGAAAGACCTATTTGAAATGTTATTTTTAGAAGGGAAATTTGAGTAAAATACATTTAAATGTATTTACCCTGTTACCTCTAATCCCTTGGAAAAATATTCATGTAGAAATTCTAGCCAGAAGCATAATTTAAATTAAAGACATTTAAAGTATTTGATGAAAGCCAAAATGTGTGTGTGTGTGTGTGTGTGTGCGTACACACACACACACTTGGATGGAATGGCAGGGTTAGCTTATGTGGTAAGGTTGGTGTCACTGTAGGCAAAGAGCAGGTTCAATCTCAGCAAAGGCCAACCATGCTGTGTGTCTTTGGTCACAAGGGAAACCAAGCGAGATGACATGGATTCACTCCAGTTACTAGACTTGGAACTGTTGCACTGAGCCTAGAACGGACAGGTCAGAATGAGCAGACAGGGAAAGGATAAAGAATTGCAGTCTGAGCGGACTGCATGTTCAAAGACAGATATGTCACAGAGCAGGGCATGCCCTTCCTTCCCGAGCCTCTGCTAGTACATGTGTGCCTTTGTGCACATTACCAAAAGGCATCTTTCTG